GACAAAACCTGAGTCCCAGCCATAGTAGCCTTCTGTCGTTCCATCGTAAACTTCAGGTCTCCCTCAAAACTTTGAGAACCAGCTCCCTCCTCCTCCTGAAATAATACTTCCGTTCCGAAGTTGTCTTCCCCAGTGATGTCCTTCGATCTGCATAGGTCGATGCTACCCAGGCTGACAGAATTGTCCGATTCTGAATTGCTAAAGTCTTCATTCTCAGAGAAGTCCTTCCTTCTTTCCTCTAGATCACTTCGTCTAACACATCTTGGGTTACGCTTTTCTGGCGACGGTTCTTTTAATCTTGTCGTCGCAATCCACTTTTTTGAACCTCCAACATGTGTAGAGGTCAAACTTCCTACTATTCGGTCTGTTGAACTCAAAGAGGAAGAAGACAGATGGTAATAATCATCTATCGAAGGCACACCCTTAGTCACGTGCCTCTTTAAAAATCTCTTTTAGGTTGGGCCCCTGAAATGGGCTCCTTGTGTCCACCTGACCCACCTTATATGGGCGTAAAGTTTGCGGCCCATTGAAGACTTCCGCCCCTGATCTTTTATATGGGCCTCCTTTAGAAAGCCTAGTGCCCACCACCCCCGGTTTAGCCAGCCCAATTTTTAGACTTCTGGGGCCCCCCAAATCTAGAAGACCAGAAAGGGTTAGGAAAATATGTTGAAGCTTAGTTGATTTAATCACAAGGTCCTTTGTACAATGAGAAGCTTTGCAAAAAAAACTATCGAGAAGGACCTCAAAAAAGTACAATCAGATGTATCATCTTTAAAATCTGTATGAATAGACAACCAACTCCTAACAAACCCTATTGCCATATTGATGACGTTGGCTTCAGAGAAGGCTTTGTGATAAAAAAATCCTACTGTTCCTTTCTAGCCACACAGCCCAAAGAATTGCCAAATGAATGGAGGACTAGCAGACTCTTCCTTTCTTTTTCATCCGGGGTATGTGCCATGCCTCCAAGCAAGCTTTCATTAAGGCAAGCATGCACCAACTTAACTTCAAGGTCTTCAAAAAGTAGCCCCAAATTTCGGGGCCAAACCTGCAGTGTAAAAACAGATGATTAACTGATTCCATCTCAACACTTCAAAGGCTGCATCTCAGGTCATTACAGTTAAAGCCTCTTTTCAGCAACATATCTTTTGAAGGAATTTCTCTAAAGCTGCAACCCAGACAAAAAACTTGACTTTTGAGGGTGCCACTGTCCCCCAAATGGCCCAGCTAGGAAAAGGGGCTCCATTCTCTCCTAAAAAGCTGTAAAAGGATTTGACTGGGAATTCTACTGACTTGTTCCACTTCCACACTCTTGTATCCTGAGTTTGTAAATTTAAAACCTACTTTTGGAGGAGAGCTAAAAGATTTCCTACCTGATGAATCTCCCCAATCATTAGCATTCCTTCTAAAAGGAGTCCAGCAAATGCTATTATCCCTCCGCACAAAAGAGTCAGCTACCAGCACCTCTTTATCACTTGCCAATTTGAACAGAGCAGGGAACTACTCCTTGAGAGTGCTCTTCCCTGTCCAAGGATCTAACCAGAATCTGATCCTTCTGCTATATCCTATTTTAAATTTGATGCAACTTCTGAAAAGGGTGGAAGTCCTACAAATTCCTTTCCACAAGCTGCACCCATATGTTGAAGGGGGAGAAGAACCACTGTCCCAACCATTATTGTCTAGCCCATATTTCTCAGCTATTACCTTCCTTCATAGGTTAGCTGGCTCAGTAGCAAACCTCCAATACCAACTACCTAATAAGGCTAGGTTAAAGGACTTTAATTTCCTTATCCTTAGACCCCCTTGTGATTGGGGTTTGCAGATCTGCCCCCCAATTCACAAGGTGATACTTGTGAGAGTCTTTCCAACCCAGCCAAAGAAAATCTCTCATTTTTTCCAACTTTTCCACTACCTCCAAGGGTAAAGGAAAGAGAGCCATAAAATAAGTTGGCAGGCTTGCTAAAACACTTTTAATAAGAGTCACGTTCCCACCTTTTGAGAGATACCTTGCTTTCCAAGAGGCCAGTTTTTAATCCATCCTCTCTAAGATTGGATTCCAGATGGCTTTGGATGTACATTTGGCACCTAGTGGCAGCCCCAAGAACTTTTGATATTTTTAAGGGCCAAAAAGTGCCGTATTTGATTTCTTTCTCCATCTGTTATTCATGGGCAAACGTTTTAAGTTCAAAGAACCTACCAGGTTCCTAGAAAAGAAAGCTGTTATCGAACAACTTTTGGAACAAAAAACATGAACTTAGTCAATGAAAGCCCCAATGCATCTAGTGTGATGTTGACTGGAGAAGTAACACATGTTCCTCTATCTGATGGCCAATAAGGATTTGCCACATTGTCCCACAACATCACAGAAATATGGTATGTTTTGCAGAAAAGAAGTTTCATCAACCCTATTTGAATATATTCTTCCCATGTATTTACAATTTTTAACCTTGAAAGACGACAGAATAAGGGTAAAGTGCTAAACATGCCTACATAATTGAATGAAATGTCACTCTTCAAAAAAGAACTCAATGAAATATCAAGTCTTCCCTTAATGCAGAAGAGTCCCCAAATGGGTTACAAAAAGGATGGCAGGAAGCAAATGATAACCAAGACCACTTCCAATCAAATTTAAAGAAACACTTAGACTACTAGAGTGAAATGCTACAGACTTCTCAAGTGGATTGTCTAGAACGTAGCTTCCATTAGCCTCACAACCACTCCCAATCGTAGTGACACCTAGGCGACAAAATGAGCTTAGTGGGGATACCTAGCCTAAACATCATGACTTGGATCAAAATAGGCCCCATCTAAGTGACTAGGCAGATGCCCTGCTTCCCAGGTGATAAGGTGCTTTCCGGAGAACAAAACACACATACACACACATAAGGATACATGTTATTAATATGGTTGCATGTTATTAGTATGTTTGTTAATACATCCTATCATATAACACTCTCTTATATCCAGAGTTTGAAGCATCATTAACATCCTATTTTTTTCACCTTGAATAAGAGAATATGCCAGAGGTGGTGGTGGGCTGGCTAAAAGATCCAGATTCAGTGATGTGGTGCTATCAAGACGAAATTAAGAAATTCAGATGGTTAACACATCAGATGAGCTTGATTAAACAATGTGTGGGTGGGGAGGCTAATGCAATGGCTGATTCATTGTATAAACAAGGGGTAACTAGGGATCAATTGTAATTCTTGTGCTGTTTTTTCTTTATTAGTGATGCTGCATCTCGTGCCTCATCAGGGAAGCTTGTAATAGTTAAATATCTTTACTGATTTAATGAAATATTAGAATTTTTACTTATCAAAAAAAAAAAAAAGGAGAATGTCAGAGGAAGACTAGTAACCAAATGACTCAAATATGATGTCATGTAAAATTACACTCAAAATTTAGACCAGTAAGGTATCCAAACACCTGATTCTTCTCAGCTGGATTCTTATATTACTTGGGCATCATTAACGTCTTTCCACCCCATCACCTCATGGTGATCAATTTCCTCCCACAAAGCCTATGGAGAAAACAATAACAGGGATACGGACTCCACCTGCCATATATTACTAGCTTCCCTTCTTGACTGATAGACCCCTCACGATGTTTTGCACTTGGGAGTAGGCTTCAGCCATCCTATCCTAAACCTCCTTCATTATAGAGAAGAAATATATAACTCCTAGCAATTTATGGCTGCATAAAAACAAATTAACCATAATATCACCATTAAAGTTTCTTGTTCCCATTTAGAATGTAATTCTTCTAACTTAGGTCGGTTCTCCTTTCCAGTGAGGCAACCTAGCTTTTGATCTACCACCCACATAAAACCCAGTTGATTGAGACCATTACAAAAGAAATATTGTCATTAAGCTAAACTAAAATAATCTGGATATTAGGCCTGCTACTGTAGCCCATTGAAAGTTCCAGAGTCCAGACCTGCCCCGTACTCTATTCAGCAATAAACAAAAATCAGCAAGTATCCACCCACTGACAAAAGGCAACTTAACATCAGAATTCTCTCAAACTGTAGACTTATATAAAGTCTAGAGGAGGCAAACAATAGGTTGAACCCATATTAACAGATAAGCAACAAAATAGGACCAATGCAAACATCCAAAGAACATTATCTCAGGCCAACATAGAGACCATGGAATACCAGAACCTCAACTACCAGATCAGCACCATCAGAAATAAAACAAAAAAAGGATGACCTATAAGAAGTTGTTACTTGCCAAGCACTAAAAACAACTCCAAACTATATGAAACTTGCTCCTATGCTTGTATAAAAGGCAGAAAAACCAGATATTTCAAGCTCCAAGGACTCAAAGCTTACACAGATCAAGCACCAATCTGACTTATCAAAACCTCAAAACTGAACTTTTCCAAATATCAAATCAATTGAAATCTGCTACTCCTAAAATAACACACCAGGAGAATCTAGGGCTTTTCATCAAAACTAGCAACCTGACCACAAGACCATATGCCTGCTAATGCCTATGACCTGCTGATGTCAGTAGGTTCTTCCATTCACTCAATCAGCAACAGTAGAAGAATAATCCTCCTCTAATACCAAACTGTAGGATTGAGAAAGTGAGAAAGGAAGAGAAGGTAAGGAGGAAAGTTCAAAAAAGCATATGGCTCTCAGTCCATAGCTACTTTTTATAGAATCAATTGGACAAAAATACCCACCTATGGTACAACATACTAAACAAGAAAAGCAATGCTTGAAATTGTTGAGCAAAAAGGTGATGTTTATTCGCATGGTAGTGATCTAGTACTAAAAGCACTAGTTTTAATTGTCAACTGTCAAACCTCTATTTTTTTTTACTTTCTATGGTCGTATATGTGTGAAGATTAATGTTCATTACTTACAAAAAAAAGGCATCACTAGGTTGTCAATAGGAAATATAATATTGTCCGTGTTCAGTAGATAATTTCCGGTAAGCACAATAGTATATCTGATCTGATAAAATACTGAGATTCAGTTACAAGGAGAGCACCCTCTATAGTTTCCTGTTGTCTCATCAACAGTATTCATGGCTTCCCAAAGAAGCGGAAGTGGAACCCAATGTGGAGGATACTTAAAACGTGCAACATCTAGAATCAGAACCATATCCCTTCCAGCATGATAACCACCAATAGGCGAAAAGTGGCCACTCCCAGTCTGCACAAAAGAGTGAGACAGTTTGATCTACAAGAAATAATATGGCCACAAATGAAAGCCATTTAAAATTGCACAAGACAAAACAATGCATTGATGATAAAATAAAAAATCAGATATATGTACTGTAATCCATAATTAGTTATAACAGATGTTTCTGATAATATTCCATTTATAAACTTAACATCTAGGCACAACCGCACAACTTCCAGTATCCCACAAAAAGGCCTGACAGTAATAAATAGTCCAACCATCAAATGCCAAAGTGGTGATCAAACTATTAGTTGACTGAAAGATCCAAATAAAAATGCCAACATGCTGAAAAAGAATTTCAACATAAACCTAGATACAAGATTAATAGAAAAGGAGGGAAAAGTCTAATGGCACATATCACAAAGATGATTTCAGTTATCTGTATTGGTAGCAGCAGCTAGTCAACTTCCAAACATATCCACAACTCAGCCAACCAGCTTGACCCCTACAATACCCAGATCTAAACATATTGGTTCTTTTTATTCTTCATGAGTAATGAATTCCATCAATGAACTCATTTTCTTTTATCAGTAGCAATCAAAAATTTTATTAAAGATATAAAACCATGGTTTCAAATGTCGCTAATGTCGCCCGACATATGTCGATGTCAAGGCTCATCGACATGAAAATGGATGGTAATATAAAAGTTACATTATTTTGGTCGACATTTCCGAAATATAGGAAATGTCGACCAAACCGGTCCAAATAACCAAAAAAAAAGACAGTTTTTCCTATTATGTCAACAGGATGTCGACTAATATACATTAATAATATAATATATTAGTATATTATGTTAATATAAATTATTCCATTAATAATTTCTATTTAATATTTCAAATAAAATATTTATAAAAAAGAATTAACAAAATATAAAAACAAAAGAATAAATTAATTACTTTATAATATAAAACATAAAATATTTTTCAACTAATAAAATATTAACTAGTTAGTATTTTTTTAAAATATTTATTAAAATCCGAAAATGTTTATTAAATTTTATAACAAATCATATTCTACATTTAATATAAAAAATCAGAATAAATTTATTAAATTTTATACTAAACCATAATTTATTATAAACTTCGTATTAAAAATCATAATAAATTCACTAAGTTTTATAAGAAATCAGAATTTAYCATAATCTTAATACTACAAAAAGGAGAATCAGTTTATTAAATTTATAATAAAACATAATGTATTATAACTTTAATATTTAAAAAATCAGAATAAATGTATTTCTACTTACTAGTGTGAAATAAATATATTAGAATTTATAATAAATCAGAATAAAAAATAAGAAAAGAAAATATCAGATAACCTTGTAAAAACATCAAAATGCAATAAACCAGTAAATCATCATTTACTAATTTGTTATTGAGCTTAGTTTCTTAGCTTTATATAATGGTTGGGAATAAGATAATAGTCTAGAAATATGTATTAATGCTTCTTTTATCATTTTACAAAATATCATTGCATATTTCCACATATTTCATAATATTTCCACAATGTCTCTAATTTTTACAATATTTCCCCTCGGCATTTCCAACATATGTCCTATATTTTGGTAAGTGACATTTCCATCGACATTGACATTTTAAACCTTGTATAAAACAGAATATACAAATGTACAAGAGAAGGTAGACTAGCATGTGTTATCTACTCTATTATCTCTTACATTAGGTTCACCTCGGCACCCACTTCTATCAATGAAGACTTAGGACACACTAAGGGGCCATTTGATAATAGTTGAAAACGCAGAATATGTAATAGTGTTCATCATCGTACAAAACCACTCTACAGATAACCTTGCTAAGTTCACCCAAAATAAAATGTGTAAGAAAAAGAATTGAAGTCTTTATTCCGTGCAGATATTTATTCATGTGGGGTGGAATTGGGGAAGGAAGAAATATCATTTAGTGAAGTGGAATTGGATTTGTACTTCGTAGACAAGATTTAAGAATAATTAGAATTATAAACAAGCACTTTCCAGAAAATAGCTTTGGAGGTTTAGTTTGGAAAGAGAGGCATTATGGAAAATAGTGGTAGCATGTAACTTGAAGTGGTCAGTTACTCAGATTTGAGTGGGGTCCTAGAGAAGTGTACTTCATTGAAGATGTATGTATGGATGGAGATTGTGCATTTAAAACTTTTTTTTTGTGGGATTTACAAAATTCAAGGTGGGCAAGGGGTCCAGGGTGAGATTTTGGGAGGACGACTGATGTGAGATTGGCAAGCTGTGTGAGTTATGTCTAAGATCACACAGCAGAATGGAATGCTATGGACCTATGGTATTTGGAACACAAAAAGCTTTTGAAATAGGAGTCAATAAACTGATAGTTGAAGGATATTCAAAAGTAGTCATCAGTTGGCGGAAACAGTCTGCAAAAGCCCCATGGTACTTTCAATATGAGATCAAAAAGGTCAGAAGACTGTCAAGAAACATGCAGGTGGATTTCCATTGGGTACCAAGGTCAGCTAATAGTCTTGCAGATCAACTAGCAAAGTAAGGGGTTAACAGGGACAGTGTTTTTGGGCTCCATTGTAATGATTAAGATCATACTTATTGGTTTGCCTTTCTTGTAATGCCTATCTCGTAATGGGGTAGCCAAGGCTACCCAAATTTGTATCTTTTCCTCCCATTAATTAAATCTTTGCTTGGTACTGATCAGAAAAAAAAAAGAAAAGAAAAGAAAAGATTATACAGATTGTGCTCTAAAGACCTTTGAAGTAAGAGGCGATAAGGTGATTTCACGTCCCAAGTTTAGAAGACCTTTGTTGGACAGGGAATATGAAGAATATATCTTTTTTCTAAGGTTAAAGCACAACAAGCTGCACCTTCAGAACTCGATTCTAGATGGTGGAAGGAATGTAGTAAGGGATGTTTTATTGTTAGATCCTACTACAATGCAATTGTTCAGAAGTGCAGAGTCTGGATATTAGAGGGATTTGGGGATATCCTATTCCTCCAAGGATGGAAGCATTTGCATGGTTGGTTGCTCTGGATAATATTCTTACAATAGATCATTTGAAAAGAGAGGCTTCAAATGGGCTAGTCTAAGTTACATGTGCAGTGACAGTGAGAATGAAGAGGTTATCAGGCATCTGGCTATCCATTGTGGAATGACAGCTTTTATTTGTGGTTTCTTCTTTTCATTGTTCAAGGTTCAACTAAACAATCCTTGGGAATTCTTTTGATTGGCCAGATCTAAAAGGAAGCAAAAAGGCAACTCTTTCCCTGGATGTTCCTTCTTCCATTTGTTGGAGAATTTCGAAAGAAAGAAATAGAAAACTGCTTGATGGAAAGGAGAGATGCTGAAAAAATATATGCTGATATTGGCAACATGATTGTGGACTGGATTTTGGCTTTTACCAGAATTTGTAGTGGCTTCTAAAGACTCTTTTGTCCTACACTTCTGGTCTACCCTTGAATTGGATTAGTTTGTACTCGGATATTTAGTAATGTCTGCAGTTGATGTCTGCTCCTTTTTCCTTGATATTCTGGTTGTAATTTTGTTCTGTTTCTTTGTGGTTCTCATTGTACTTTTTGTTTGTGGTGTTATCTCATCACCCTATCACCTGTTCTACACTTTTTTTTTTAATTTCAATAAAATCCTCTTTTGAATTACTACCATTAAAAGAAACTTGTTATTCAAGAGTAAATGCAATGTAACATTGCAAGCATAGCAATTTAACCATTTGCATTGTGAATACAGATTATGACAGGGTAATTATTTGGAGTTCTGCATGGGTAGAGACTGTTGCTGAGATTCCCACTAAAGAAATCATAAATTCATCAAGGCTACAATTGTTTCCAAGTCATGTATATATGCTATAAATAGCCAATACATTTCTAGGCAAGGAAGACAAGATTCCCTTCTGCACACAACAATATTATTTTGATTTTGCAAAGCATAACAGAGTCAAAATGTTTTTATTAACATTTAGACAGCTAAAAAGGCATCTGGATCATAAAGAACAACTCTGAGAAATAACAGAGGCAGCTAAATTATCCTTTGTAAGGCTAATGGTGAGAGCTGCTATTACTTATTAATCTCCTGCCCATTTGTTTTTTTTTTTTTTTTTGGTATTCGCCCTTTTGTTTTAGTTATTTGAAATTGGTTTCTCTCTTTGTTTGGTTGCAGAAGGATACCCCCACCAAGTGTACAAGGTCTGTTTGCTTCTTCCTTTCTTAGGTGGCCAAAGGAAAGGGGCAGAATAATGTCGAGGTGTGTTAGAGCTGTCATCTGCCAGACAATTTAGGAAGAAAGGAACTCACACATATTTTCTGAAAAGAAGAGGAGTAAAGAGGACATCATTGAAACAGTCAGTATTTGGGTTGCACATTGGCTAAAGTCTTTGGAGGTATTTGAAGGGGTAACTACAGATATGTTGTCAAGGAGCTGGAAGGAAATGGCTAATTCAGCCCCATTTCAAATGAAGATTACTCCCTTATAGTCTCCGCCAGCATCTAGTTCTTTGATGGAAGTAGTAAGGGCAATCTGGGACCCTCAGGCATTGGAGGAACATTCAAAGATGAGGAAGGGAAAGTTATTGCTATGTTTTCAGGCCCAATCGGTGTAGGGGATTCACTTAGAGCTGAGGCTATGGCAGTAATGGAAGGGTTAAAGAAGGCTAAAGAATTAAATATCAGAAAGTTAATTGTAGAAGGAGATTCAAAATTGGTTATAGGCTGGTTGAACAAGGAGGAAAAATAATTATGAAAGTTCGCAAACAAAAAAAAGAAAGTTCAATTCACTAACTCAGAATGTAGAGATTCAGCTACAATGGATTAAGAGAAATGCTAACTCTTCTGTGGATGCTCTTGCTAAACAAGGGGTGGGAAGGGATCAAATGTTCTGGGCTGTATTGTAATTCTGTTTTCTGTATTTCTCAGGGAGGGTTAAGAGATTTTATCTCTCTCCTTCCTTCTTCTGTATCTTTCTATTAATTCTTTAATACAAGTTTCTGTTATTGATCAAAAAAAAAAAAACAGAGGCTGATAAATTGGAGAATTTGCCAACTAAAAGTAGAGCAGATCATCAAGAAAGTATAGAAGAACAAATAACAAAGAAAGAGGTCCCAAATTCACAGAAGATAACCAAAAAATAAGTGGCTTAACTACTAAACACAACATCAAACATGTTCAGTATCATCTGAGGTTTTTTCTTTTTATTTATTTTTTTGTTGAAGTATCATCCAAGGTTAGTTCCTCTTAGTCATACAAATATCAACTAGAGAAAGTTAATTGTATTGAACCACTAACTGACCTCATAATTGCTTAAAAGAATCAAATTTGCAACACATTCTAACTAAAAAATAAATCAATGACAAATTAGAGGAATTGAGACTAAAGCACCTTCAGGGATTGAAATATAATCTCAGGTTAAGTTATCCCTGTATTGTAAATTCAAGCAAAAAAAAAAAACTAAAAATTGGAAATAGATTTGCTAGTAATGCATCTCATTAAATTAAGACTCTAACTCCGTCAATATGGATGCAGAACACCATTGATTATGCCAATCAAAACAAAATTTGCTAAAGGTTTATCCCATTAACAAAATTAGAGACTCGAGAAACTGGTAGAAAGGATCATAGACTTCTGCATGATCCTCCACCTCAATGTATCAAGAAGTTAAAGCATCACCAGTAAGTATGCCTAAAAATTTAAAAAAAAAAAAAATTGAAAAACATAAGAGAAGAGAACAACTAAATGTTAAACCGAAGAAGAAGATATAAATTATCTAAAGCCAAAATTAATTGAGATAAGTAAAAACCTGCTTAAAAGATGCTCTGTGGTAGGACGTGATTACGTGATTATCTTCAGAAGAAGTACACGTTATGACATGTTGACGGAAATCATTTAAAGTGCTCTGGTTTGTGCGAAAAGCTTCAACTTTAGCACCAGCACAGTGAGCCAGACATACAACCTTTCCAAATGCGATGCCTTTAGCTTTAATCTTTTCCAAAGGTTCACAGCAATCCAACATAGATTCATCAAACCATCTCCAAGGACCTAGAGAGAAATCTCATTGATTATGGGGCTATGAAAGTGGCATCCCAAAATAAAATTCACTGTGTGGGAGTTTGATATAGCATTTAGAAATGGGGATTCATGGATGATTGAAATAGGCCTTTCATGGAACTTTTTGCATTTTCTAACATTATATATAGCTATTGGTACTTTAGCCATAGAAGTTCATACATGTGCAGTATTATGATTTGCAGATATTCTTGAATGTCCTAGATTCTCCTACAGAAGCATCATTAAATTAAGCATTCAGCTTTTGTATGATCTTCAATATAATTAGAAGACATAGGGTCACTTCACCATTACAATGTCTTTAGGTCTTTCAGAATGCCATTTACAGAAGATGGGTCATTTCTGAATTTAGAATTATCTTTACTGGATTAAGTTCAAGAGATCACATCACCATTCTCTGAAGATGGCTCAACAAAATTTTACTAACTGATGTATTTCAGCTTTCTAAACCAATAAAAGATGCAACAAATCAATTTCTAAATAGATTTGACCATCCCAAAGTTACAAAAACATAGTTTCTACTTTAAAAAAACAAAAAAAATAGCTGTTATTTTCTTTAGGGAGTTCCTGTTTTTTGTTAGAAGGTATACAATTAGTTGTTTCCTATTTTGTCTAGTAAACTATTAATTTAAATCAACTCTATTTTGCTGAGTTTCTAATTTTAGGAGTTTCTAGGACTAGCTGCACTTTTGGTAATAGCCAAATTTCTATTTCAGTCAATGCTTTGAGGAGTTCTATTTATAATGTATATCTGTCCAGGACAACAGAAGTTGATTTCTTCTTTTTTCTGTTTTATCTTTTAGTAGTTCTGTGCTACTAGTCTAGAAGAACGCCAGCAACCATTATCTAGATTTCCCCCAGATTTAGAGCATACTTTGCTAGATTTTGAAGCAAGGCTTCCCATCAACCTTACTTTCTATTTACCAGACCCTACATTATTAACGAACAAAAGGGAAGAGGGAAGAACAAAAGAAAAGCAAATCCCAGTCAACAAACCAACAAAAGCTGGGATAAGAAAGCAACAGTTAAAAACTTTATAAGCAAGCCTGCAATATAGAACTCCCAAGAAAAAAAAAAATTACTACTTCCAACTTCACCCCCAATGAAGTGGTGATAAGTAAGTTAACTAACCTAGTAAAGTAGGAACAAGTCAGCAAAACAAAGGAAAAGGGAGGTCTAGGATTGGGGAACTTAGTTCACAGAAATGCTTCTCTGTTAAGAAAGTAGCTTGGAGGTTTCCATTGCAAAGAAACAGGTTGTGGCACTGGCACAAGGTTATAGAAAGCATTCACGGGCTGATGAACAATGGTTGGGATGCAAGGGTAACCCCCACATCATCCTCGAGCTCTCCGTGGAAAGCAATACAAGACGTATATCCAATCTTTATTAATCTCATTAGATTTGATGCGGATTGTAGTTCTAGGGTCTTTTTTGGGAAGACCTTTGGTTGGATGATACTCTTTTTTGTGCTCTTTTCTCTGAACTTTATTCAGTTTCTGACTACAAGTTACAACCTATATCAAACTCACTTTTTCTCACTTTGGACCGAGTTGGGATTTTGCTTTCAAAAGGGGTTTGAGAGATAATGAGTGTGAGTCCCTTATTTGTTTGCTTGACAAGTGTTAACAGATGTTATTTTATATATGTATGGTACCGCAGGGGTACTTTTGTAATTTCTTCTTACTTTTAAGTTGTACGGTCGCCCTAGTATAAATAATAACATACTGCACGCCTGCAGTATTCTTTTGGGCTCTCAGTCCTCTCGTCTCTCCTCTTCTCTCTCCCTTTTCTCTTGTACAACATGGTATCAGAGCAGGTCGTCCAGGCTTGAAAGGTGAAGTCGAGCAGTCTGTCCCTTCATCTTCCAGTTGTGTCCATCTGCTGTTCAGCTTCCAGCATGTAAAAGTCTGTCTGTTTTTTTTATCTTCATCTGCTGTTCGGCTTCCAGCATGTAGAAGGTTTTGTTTCGAGGGTGACAAGTTCTCAGAAATTATCATCTGCTGTCCATCTGCTGTTTGGCTTCCCTGATGTTCGACTGAAACTTTCAGAAGTTATCATCTGATGTTCATCTGCTGTTCGGCTGCCCTGGTGTTCGACTGAAGTAACCTCCTTTTTTTTTACTTTGTTCTCATTGACTGTTCGGCTGCCCTGATGTTTGACTGAAGTAACCCTTTTTTTTTACTTTGTTCTCATTGACTGTTCGNCCTTTTTTTTTACTTTGTTCTCATTGACTGTTCGGCTGCCCTGATGTTTGACTGAAGTAACCCTTTTTTTTTACTTTGTTCTCATTGACTGTTCGGCTGCCCTGATGTTGGACCTGTTCCAGGTCTACTGATTAGATGTGTGGTGAGCTTCACCTCTTCCTTTCCTTTCTGTTGTGGGGTTGTTTGATCCCTGTGCAACCGTAGGTCATAAGGACCTGTTTATGTGCTGCAACAGCAGTTTTGTTTTTGGAAACCTGTGAAACCGTAGGTCATAAGGACCTTGTTTGTGTGCTGCAACAGCAGCTTTTTTTGGTGAACTGAAGGTCTGGAAGTGGCTGGTACCTTCTGTAATAACTCTTTGAGGCTGTGTTCCTTTTTTTGGGTGTTGTTTTTAAATCTGAAATCATGAGTGGTGAAGATTCTGCTACATCTGGAGTTTCCTCAATGCTGAATGGAATGAGTGGGGGTGTAGACCTATCCTTTCCCATGGCTGTTGTCCCTCTTGATGGTTTAAATTACTTAGAGTGGTCAAGAGGGATCAAGCTGTACATCACTGCAAGGGGGAAGACAGGTTATATTAATGGGAGAATTAAAGAACCACACTCTGGGAGTGCTGAATATGATAGATGGAATCAGGAAAACAACATGGTTATGTCTTGGCTCTTAGTCTCTATGCAACCTCAAATAATGAAGAATTTCATGTGGGCTGAAACGGCAAATGAGATCTGGGAACAAGCAAAATCTACATACTCAGAACTGCGACACTATGCAAAGATCTATCAACTACAGGCAGAGTCGTCTACTTGTAAAAAGGAGGAGAGGTGTCTATCGGTATATTACTCTGACTTGACTTCTGTCTAGAAGGAGTTGGACCATTATCAAAGTGTGGACTGGAAATGTGACGAGAATGCAAAACTGTACAAGAAACTTGTCTCCCAGCAGAGAGTATTTGCCTTCTTACATGGTTTGAACCCTATGTATGAATCTATCAGAGTCAAGATTCTCAGTTCTAAGGATCTTCCATCAGTTCAGGAAGTTTATGCTCTTGTACAATCAGAAGAGAGCAGAAGGAATTTGATGAATAGCCCTGGTGGAGATGCAGTTGTGTTGGCAGCAAAAGGGGGTGTCTCTACCAGTGTGGGAAATTCTTCCAGGAAAGGAGATCTCCAGAAAAAAAACGGAAGATAAAGAAAAATTGTGGTGTACTCGTTGCCAGAAACCCCGACACACCAGAGATACATGTTGGGATCTTCATGGGAAACCGAAATGGGCTCAAGATCTGAATAAGAAGCAAAGTTCAGATGTGAATAAAAGGTCAGGACAGCAAGGTACAAAGAAACACACTATGGCCAACATGGCTACTCGAGAGAATCAGCCCCCCATCCATACAGTGACTCAGACACATTCCTCTGGATCTGACCCAAGGG